CTCAACTACTTAAATTTTTTGATTTGGATAGTTTATACAAAATTAAATTTATTTTAATTAACTAAACAATATAAGTTTTATAATTATACTTATTATATATATACATATATATATATATTTAAATATATGATAAAATTTTACCAAAAAAATTTCTTTTCTGGAATCACATTGTAGTTAAATAGAATTTATAAAACTAAACAAATTTAAAATGAAACTTGTTTGGAAAAAATATAATATAATTTATTATCAATTAGTGCACCGTACGAGTTGTGTACTAATTTAAATAAACATATTTTATATAATTTTGCACAATTTAAATTTCATATAATATTTGTAATAAATTAATATACGTAAATTGTATTACATACTAATTCTATATTTTAAATTTATAAATATTATTTAATGAGTCTTTTTAATTTACAAATTTTAATACATATTTCTTACCCGTGCGTCGCACGAGATTCGTACTAGTTCATTTCAAAATGTCATAAATTTATAGATACTTATATATATATTCACTATTTTTATAATTAGACATATTAATAAAAACACTAAATATAATTGAACGGTTGGAGGATAAATAATATAGAAATTTTTATGAATTTAAAAACAAAATATGATTTATATTCTACAATTCTTATATTTATCAACTATTACATACGAGTTGAATCATGTCTCATACATTCATATAAAAGAATTGTAGAATCATGTCGCATACATTCATATAGCCTAGTGGTGGTGTTACCTCTTTGACATGCAAGAGGTTTTGAGTTCAAACCCTAGTGTTGTGAGAATTGAGAGAGTTTGTAAGGATTATATTGGTGGATGGTCATGGGCTCTCATTGTGAGCCATGTGGTTCAAGGTGGGTCAGGTGGTTGCAGCCTTCAAGTTGGATCAACAATTTTTTGTTGCTAAAAAACCGTTGGTATTCTGTTGGAAAAAATTCGTTGGCAATCTGTTGGAAAAATATCCGTTTGTAATCTGTTGGGAAGAAATTTCGTTGGTAATCCGTTGGGAAAAAATTTCGTTGGTAATTTGTTGGGAAAAAATTCCGTTGGTAATCCGTTGGGAAAAATTTCCGTTGGTAATCCGTTGGAAGAATTTCGTTGGCAATCCGTTGGGAAAATTTTGTTGGTAATCTGTTGGGAAAAATCTGTTGGTAATCCGTTGGTATATCCGTAACTAATATGTTGGCTTTCTGTTAGTAATTTACCAACGGAATGATTTCGCAACTACGTTTTCTGTTGGCAATTCCTTGACAATCTCATGGAGTGATTCTGTTGCAAATTCGTTGGTAATCCGTTGAGAAATTTACCAACGGATTGCATATTCTGTTGGCAATAATTACCAACAAGCCATATAGCAACACAGAAATCCGTTGGTAATCCGTTGGCATTCTGTTGGGAAATTTGTTTACCAATGGATTATTCCGTTGGTAAAACTCATATTTCTTGTAGTGTTAGGTGTATGGATTTATTAATTATAAGTTATAATTTCTTTAGTGAAATTGTAAAAATAAATAAAAAATAATATATTTATTATAATTTCTAAGCACAGCCTAAGCGCCGCCTAGGCCCCGACTAGGCGCTCTAGGCGCTAGGCGTTCATCGGGCGCCTAACGATTTCTAGAACACGGTTATTTTTCACCCTTTTTGGAGTCGATAATATACTACAGTGTTTGCAAATGACGTTAGTTGACTTTCACTTTTTTTTTTTTAAAAAAAAAAAATATCGTTTGGAAAAAAAAAAAAAAGACTTTCACTTTTTTCTATTTTAATAATTTTTTTAAAAAATAAAGCTTCTATCTGTGTCTTTAACACACGCTCTCGTATGCATTTTCTGTTCCAATTATACCCTTGTATTTTTTTTTTTCATTTCATGTTATAAAAAGTAGGAAGATAAATAAAATGGGAGCTTCGGTATTCCTTTTGTTTTTTTTTTTTT